TATACTTCAGAGATATTTTAATCATAAGAATTTCTAGGGGTACCAATAATTGTGGCCATTGTGTATTAGACAAAAATATTTATTTCATAATGTGATTTTCCCCCATTTTCACTTTTTTACTTCAATTAAAGGTTAGAATTTTTTTTTTGAATGAACGATCAAATGGACTCATAAATGGGAATATACTTCAGAGATATTTTAATCATAAGAATTTCTAGGGGTACCAATAATTGTGGCCATTGTGTATTAGACAAAAATATTTATTTCATAATGTGATTTCCCCCCATTTTCACTTTTTTACTTCAATTAAAGGTTAGAATTTTTTTTTTGAATGAACGATACAATACAGACTTATTTTCAAAGCCTTCTTTGATCATATTTACCAAGGGTATGAATAATTTTGAACACAACTGTACATGTGAGGATCTTGTTTGCCTGTTTTCTGTCTTCTTGGTATGTGACTTATGTTGCTATGACCACGGGTCTAAACTAAAGCCTCACCTGCTGTTTATGTAAGGCTGCTGATCCTGCAACAGCAGAAAACAACAGAACTGTAGACCTCTGATGATGAGTCAGGCCTAAAGAACTGCTCTTCTCTTTCTCAGATTACACAGCAACATTATTTGCAGGTGCTGAGGTAAAGTCATGTGTATCACGAGTTTGTCTTGTTCATCTTAATATTTTCTCTGCGACTTAGCTCTGCTAAAGAAGTTCTGTTAAAGAGGAGTTTGTTAGGTAAACAAACATCAAGATTAATTTTTGTCAGTCTTCACTGTTCCTGTATAAATTGTTCCTGTGTCACTCACGTTCTCCTCGTTCTTGAAAATAAGAGAGTCTAGAGACATCTAGAGGACATAAAACGTCCTTACAAGTTGAGGTACGAGATAAATCGTTGCTTGTTGCTCTATTTTGTTTGTTCTGTTTTGTTTATGTCCAAACAGAGAGTTTATCAATGAAGTAGACATCAGGTCAATTATTTTAATAAGAGTACTGTCTCAAGAGCTGTAGCTCATCAATATATATGAGTGGGTGATGATCTATGTGAAATGTTCAAAGGAAATATAACAGTGCTGTGTCTGGTGTGTTTGAATATGGTTGGGACACAGACCAAATTAACAAGGAGCTGATTATTTATAGTGAGTAAATCAATGAAGGATGAATCTGTAATACTGAATTATGTAGGCTATTAATTTATATTTACTATATGTTACGCATGTTCTCTAGGATGTCAAACCTTGATAAAATTAGGCTATGTACTTGTAATGTTTTTAATAAAAAACATTCATTAGCAGAGCATGACATTTGAATCAAATTTTACATAAAGTTGTAAATGAGCGGTGATACTTTTGTGGCACAGTTTTTGCACAGTCACACAGAAAAGTAACTTTTTTTAAGAATTTGCATTTGAGCTCCAAGTTCAAAGTCAATATTTTCAGTCAAATTTTGGGTTATTGCTCAAACTGCAATAACAGTTCAATAATAACCCGTTCTGTCATTAGCATATTAAAAGCATTATTGCTATGTGGCAGTGAATAGGAAGCTGTAAGGTCGAGAACTACACACAAAACAATATTTATTTTAATTAGTTTTCTTTATAATTCATTTCCCATATAAAACTCCCATAACAATATACAGTGCATACATCTCTCACCAATTTAATCGCAATTATCAATTTAAATGTCTGAAAATGTCTTTGTTCAGCTTCAGGCAGATATTATTAAAATATAAAGTGCAAAGAGAATGTGAAAATGCAGGGAAATGATTGGCAGTATCCTCAGGGAAAAGGAAATATCAAATTGAACAAAACATTGTTCGGGAAAGAAAATATTACAAAAGTATAATGCTGCAGCTGACTTGACATGAAGGTATTTTCTGCTTGTGTATGCAGTTCATTTGGGTGATATTTTTTATTAAATTCTTGCACCATTTTCTGTTTAATGTGAGTTCTAAGCTTATGCAAATTATGGATGCCATTTGTACGATAAACTGATTTTTCCTGTATTGTGACACAAAATCATCTTTTTGATAAACAGCCATTCAACTTTCCTTTTCTGCTTTTTTATGTTTAAACACATCAGTCACCCATGTGAAAAAATTTTTAATTACTTAAAAATTGTAATCACTGGTTTTAATTACTTTAATGGGTAATTTAATATTTAAATGCATGTCTGAAAATTAAACTATATGAAAGGAACGGACCACTAGGTGGCAGTAAAATTATACAGGACAGATCTGCTCTCTGCTCTTAGAATTCTGAAGCTTTAGATGCAGATGTTTTTAAAATGTACAAATCACATGAAACAGCCAGCCAGATTTTAACATTTCTTATTGATAATTGAGAGATATTGTGCTACTCATTATAAATATACCCTTTGAGGTGCCAAAGGCTAATATACACAGCAGTTATAGTTCCATAAATGAGCAACATTGCAACATATGGTTACTGTTAATTGGTGGGCAAAAGTCATTCTTTCCCAAGTTCACTAATATGTTGTTTAGCAGCTTTTTCAACTTTGGACAGTTTGGATTTCCTCTTTGTCCTTTGGAGAGTGCAGCTGATTAGAGCTCTGATAATTGCCTATTGTTACGTGATGATGATCCAGCTGTAAGCAGTGCTGTGTGTGATATTATTCTGCAGAACAGAAGGGACACATTAAATTAGAGATCCATAAAAGCAGTGCAGGCATAGAGGGCTGTGAACAGATGTCTGTTTTTTTTCCCTGAGATAAAAAAGCGTCGCTGTTGCATTGTGTTAATGCTGATGAATGCCACACAGGTGGGTTTATTGTGAGAGCTCTGCACAGAGACAAAGAGCCAGTAGTTGACTTTCAACAGCTGGAGACAGAATATTTTTGGATGTTTTAGCACAGTTGAGGATTTG